TTCGCGTTTTTGACACCACTTGGGGGTCCAAATTTTGGGTACTAAAATTCTTATTCCTTGGCCGATTTTCGATTTTTTCATGCTGATTTGAAGGCCATTATAGCATTTGAATCAGTTTAAAAAGTTTCAGTTTTATATCTTGTACGGTTTTTGCGGAAACCCGTGTTAAAGTTGATGCCGTGGTGTCAGTAAAATGGTGCGGATAAATAAATATATATATAGTAAGATAGACTATGGTGTATTGTACTATGGTAGTAAGTAGATTGCTAAATAAATAGGACTGTATGAGTATACAACAGGATTCGGAAACTTTTCATAAAGTGTAACCAAGCGTTCGAGCTTTATTATACAATGTATACAATGTACATTATACCATCTCACTCCATTTCCTTTAACAGGATTATTTAATAATTATTTTATCGAACTGATTCATCAGCCCTTCATCTGAACAAATGGAAAATATCATTAACAGCGTTATAACCGAATTTAATTTGTCACAATTTGTCGCTATGACGACAGGATAATGGGGGGGGGGGGGGGGGGGGGGGGGGGGGGGGTCCAACCCGATCATTCCGATCATTCCGATCCCGATTTTGGCCTCATCAACCCTCATATCGGAAAAATCGGGAAAATTTAAATCTTTCCTCTGAGGTTTCTAGGCGATATAGGTAGCTATTTCTGTACTTAAATATGACAAGAAATCGATTGGTGGTGGTCCCAGAACCCCAAAATGGTTTCTAGTTCCAAACAAGAATCGTTTCGTCCGAAAAAAAACACACTGTCGTATCAACTCTTGTTTGACAGAAACATCCATCCCGGTCCACAATTGAAAGAGGTACGGTTGGTAATAACAATCGTAACAAATAGAGAACGCTTTAGTAACTTTTGATTTAAATTGTCTCCACAATTTGTAACAGGCTATCTGCAGAAATGGGTAGCACGGTTAATGACCATTGACCGTGCTACCCATTTCAAGAGGAGGACTGAGGACGGGGAGGAGGAGGACTAAGAGAACGCGAGGGCTAAGGACGACGAGGACTGAGGACGAGTACGAGAGCGAGGACGAGGACTGAGGAGGAGGACTGATAAGAAGGAGGAGGAGGACTGAGGATGACGAGGAGGAGAAGGAGGACTGGGGGAGGACTGAGGAGGAGGAAGAGGACTGAGGAGGAGGACTGTGGACTGAGGAGAAGGAGGACTGAGGAGGACAGAGGAGGACCAAGTCGAGGACTAGGAGGATGAGGACGAGGACTAAGGACAAGGACTGGGAGGATGAGGACGAGGATTAAGGACGATGAGGATGAGGACGATGACTAAGGACGAGGAGGAGGACGACTGAGGAGGAGGACTGATTAGGAGGAGAAGGAGGAGGAGGGTGAGGAGGAGAACTGAGGAGGAGGAGGAGGAGAAGGAGGAAGACTGAGGAGAAAGAGGAGGACTGGGGAGGACTGAGGAGGAGGAGAAGGACCGAGGAGGACTGAGGAGGAGGAGGAGGACTGAGGAGGAGGAGGACTGAAGAGGAGAGGGAGGACTGAGGAAGAGGAGCAGCTCATTGGTGAGGAGGAGGAGGACTAAGGACGAGGAGGACTGAGGAGGAGGACGAGAGCGAGGACGAGGAGGAAGACTGAGGAGGAGGACTGATAAGAAGGAGAAGGACGAGGACGAGGACTGAGGAGGAGGACTGATGATGAAGAGGAGAAGGAGGACTGGGGGAGGACTGAGGAAGAGGAGGACTTAGGGAGGACTGAGGAGGAGGAGGACTGAGGGAGGACTGAGGAGGATGATGAGTAGGAGGACTGAGGATGAGAAGGAGGAGAAGGAGGAGGAGGACTGAGGAGGAGGAGGAGGACTTAGGAGTAGGAGGAGAAGAAGGAGAAGGAGAAGGAGGACTGAGGAGGAGGAGGGGAGGACTGAGGAAGAGGAGGACTTGGGGAGGACTGAGGAGGAGGATGACTGGGGGAGGACTGAGTAGGACGATGAGGAGGAGGACTGAGGATGATGAGGAGAAGGAGGACCAGGGGAGGACTGATGAGGAGGAGGACTGGGGAAGGACTGAGGAGGAGGACTTAGGAGTAGGAGGAGAAGGAGGAAAAGGAGGAGAAATAGGAGGAAGAGAAGGAGGAGGAGGACTTATGAGTAGGAGGAGAATGAGGAGAAGGAGAAGGAGGACTGAAGAGGAGGAGGAGGAGGACTGACGAGGAGGAGAAGGACTGACGAGGAGGACTGAGGAGGATGAGGATGAGGAGGAGGAGGAGGATGAGGAGGAGGACTGAGGAGTAGGACTGAGGGGGAGGAAGAGGACTAAAGAGGAGGATCAGGAGGAGGCTGAGGAGGAAGAGGACTGAGGAGGAGGAGAAGGAGGAGCAGGACTGAGGAGGAAGACTGAGGAGGATGAGGACGAGGACTAAGGACGAGGACTAGGAGGATGATAACGAGGGCTAAAGAAGAGGACTGATTAGGAGGAGAAGGAAGAGGAAAAGGAGGAGGAGAAGGAGGAGGATAAGGAGGAGGAGGAGGAGGAGGATAAGGAGAAGATTGAGGAGGAGGAGGATGACTCAGGAGGAGGACTCAGAAGGTGGAGGAGGACTCAGGAGGACTCAGGAGGAGGACTGAAGAGGAGGAGGAGGACTGATGAGGAGGAGGAGGACTCAGGAGGAGGAAGAGGACGAGGACGAGGACTAAGGACGAGGACGACTAGTGTAGGACTGAGGATGAGGACTGATGAGGAGAAGGAGGAGGAGGACTGAGGAGGACGATGAGGAGGAGGAGACTGAGGAGGAGGAGGAGGACTGTTGAGGAGGAGGAGGATGATGAGGAGGATGACTGTGGACTGAGGAGGAAGACTGAGGAGGACGAGGACGAGGACTAAGGACGAGGAGGAGGAGGACTGATTAGGAGAAGAAGAAAGCGGAGAAGGAGGAGGAGGATGAGGCTAGGAGGAGAAGGAGGAGAATGAGGAGGAGGACTGGGGGAGGACTGAGGAGGAGAATAAGGAGGACTAAGGATGAGGATGAGGACGAGGACGATTATGAGGAGGACAGAGGATGAGGACTGATGAGGAGGAGAAGGAGGAGGATGAGGAGGAGGAGGACTGGGGAGGACTGAGGAGGAAGAGGAGGATGACTGAGGAGGAGGATGAGGAGGAGGACTCAGAAGGAGGACTCAGGAGGTGGAGGAGGATGAGGAGGAGGACTCAGGAGGAGGAGGACGACTACGAGGAGGACTCAGGAGGACTGATGGGGAGGAGAAGGAGGAGGAGGATGAGTAGGAGAAATGAGGAGGAGGAGAAGGAGAAGGAGGAGGACTGGGAGTAGGACTGAGGAGGAGGAGGGGACTGAGGAGCAGGGTGAGGAGGACTGAGGAGAAGGACGAGGACGAGGACGAGGAGTCAGGAAGAGGACTGAAGAGAACTGAGGAGGAGAAGGACTCAGGAGGAGAAGGAAGACTTAGGAGGAGGAGGAGGACTGATGAGAAGGAGGAGGAAGACCAGGGAGGAGGAGGAGGACATGTAAATGTTTTGTCTGTTTTTGTCTGTTTTTGTCCGTTTTTGTTCGCCCTACTTTTTGTCCGTTTTGAAAATATAGGGTACCGAACGGACACAAAACATGATCCCCCAGCCAAGCATGTGTTACGATACAAATGTACTTGACTATACATTTAAGTTGCAGTGTACTAGTGATATTATGGTATGTTTAAAGACCGGACCACAAAATATAACCCGGTACCTAGTGTTGTACTAATACATAATAACAAGTAACAGGGATAAAATTAATGAGCAGAAACAATCGATCTCACGTCAAAAGGCCAAAGCACTCGGGTCTGGGAGTACATGACAACTCCAACTAGTAGTGAGTATACTAGCGCCCCTGCAGTGGAAAAACACATAAAACATACTATTGGAATGTCCAATTGGTTCGTTTTCTCATAACAATATAGCATTATATGGAGGGGTTCTGGTTGAATTATATCACTTCTGAGAGGTTTTAGAGATCGATTCTGTTAATTTCTCAATTTTCCGATTTTTCCGATTTTTCCGATTCCGATTTTGGCCTCATCAACCCTCATATCGGACATCGGGTTGGACCCCCCCAATGGGGCCTCATGTACAAAAATGAGAAAAAGTCATAAACTGTAGGAATTCGGTGCAATTAGGCTTTAAAATTTAGAACTACAACGCTTCCAAAGACTCAAAACCAAAGATTATTAATTGATCTAAGAAATGTCGCATAAATATAAGAAAGTGGTGTCAAATTATGTTGAATTATTAACTGTCTAAGTTAATGAAGTGCACTATTTTTATAATATAGGAGTTGCACTTATCCATACCAGCTGCCACTGTAGTAGTATCTGACGAGCTCGACTATTTCACGTGGAATTCCGCAATAAACTGGAACATTCCAGACTATTCCACCTGGAACTACCGATACTCAACTGTCTGATTTCATGTCTAAATCATGCAGTGAAAAGTATCAGAAAATTCACATAAAATAGATTTCGAAAGTTTTGATGATCCACGAGTAAGATAATAAGTGATAACGAATAAATCCTACTGCAGTAAAGCTGACGTAATTTTAAGTTCAAGAGATACAGCTGTCCAAGGTTGCATATTGTATACTGAAAGTAATTTTGACGGCGTATAATAAACATAATAAATAATCATCATTTAGTCTTAACTTAATATGCGGCAAATATGTGGTAAATATGCGGCAAATGTGTAGTAAATATTTAGTAAATATGTGGTAACTTGACTTACTCGACTTAGGGCGGCTTCAACGTCCGAACAAAATGTGGTAAATTTGTGGTAAATATGTGGTTAATATGCGGCAAATGTGTAATAAATATTTAGTAAATATTTAGTAAATATTTAGTAAATATTTAGTAAATATTTAGTAAATATTTAGTAAATATTTAGTAAATATTTAGTAAATATTTAGTAAATATTTAGTAAATATTTAGTAAATATTTAGTAAATATTTAGTAAATATTTAGTAAATATTTAGTAAATATTGAAGTTGCGGCATTCTTACACCCACTGAACAGCAATGATAACTCTATTTTGCAGCTGTCATAGGTTGACTGGGGTCATTTAAACAGCGAATAAATAATCTTCATTTAGATACTGCCGGTTCAGCGATCTTATACTGATTTCTGGACAGCGGAGCTCTGAAAGTCGTGAGGTCTTTAGTTCGAGTATTTGTCAATATTTAGACGGCAGAGAAGTTAGTTAAACGCTTCGAGGCTTACAATGGCTGAAATTTCACATTTATAACTATATTTTACGCTTCGATGGTTTCTAGCGATCTTATTTCAAACGGCCACTTTACAGTCTCCGGTTTAGCCGGCCCTAAGTAGGAAAGTAAGAAATTAATACACGATAGTCACTATAAAACAAATCGAACCAATATTTAATCTTTATAACCAATGAGGAAAAATACCTCTGTCAGAGATTGTGGACGGTTTTATTTAAATTACAAGCACAAAATGTTCAGAAATTCTGAAAGGTCTCCAATATATTTTGTTCAAGTGCCTGTTGATGTTATAATTATGTATAACAACAAAGCTTATAAAGGATACCGGAGTGGTCCCAGAGGTATCATTACTGAAATTCATATTTCTTAAAACATTTTTCACCTAGAGTCCTAGATACTCAAATTGTTAAAGCTGATCATAGTCACATGTGCAGTAGTTGAAGTAAGCAGAGTATTTTGCAAATGACATCATAACTCTCTAGAACTTTCCAGAACTTAAAACTCCCCACAAGTCAGCTAAGGTTCAAGTCTGGAGTTGGGTGGGGGTTCAGGTGCTCCATTCCTTGTCTGCATCCTGCCCAGCACTCTGCTGTAACTCGTCCCTCTACTACCACAGGCTGAAGCAGTTGGTAGCACTATCGGCTTCTCAATATCCATCTTGTTGAGACTTCTCTTCAGGTCTATTAGAGATCCAAACAGTTCGCTAGCTTGGTCCACGTGGCACTCCAGACATTGCTCGTTTGTGATAAATCTGGGGATATAGTTTCTCTTTCACTTTCTCTTGTGATAAACCTGGGGATATAGTTTCCCTTTCTAGCTTACGTAGTATGTCAACGCGATATTTTAGGCAAAAATCCTCTAACAGCGAAAAAAGCTTCAAAAGTTTAAGAAACTACGAAAAACCAACCTGAAACTGTTGGTCGTCTTGTATTTCCTTCTTTTGTTACGAGGTTCTGTTAACCTCATCGTGCGATCTATTTTGTTAATCCTGTTCACCTGGCAAAAAGTCACTTTTATTTTTCTAATTTATAAAACTCTTGAAAATGGGTGATCCATTTCAGAAAAGGGTTATCACATTCAATATGACGTTAACACGGCTTAGATGCCAAAATCCAACAGATTTGTAATTTGTTTAATAACTAATTAATCAATTAACTAATTAACAGACTATCATAATACCCACCTTGTTGCTGTACTGTGCGATTAACAGGTGTCTGGGTAGCTTGTTGAAGTTCGGGTGCAGCCCCTCTGGGACTACCTTCCCTTGAAATATCGTCCCTCTCTTTATCTGCATACCTGCCGGGGGTTCTTGGGGTGACATTATTTAAAAAGATTATAGTCTGATACTCTAACATACAGTTAGTAGAAGTGTCATTAGTAAAGATTTTGTTGCACTAACGTGTAAAATCCGGATTGGAATATTATTTATGAGTCGCATAGTTGAAATGTTTTCTTGGGTAAATTTCTATAATTGATCCCGTTTGATGCGACAAGGAAAAGGCTCTTATCAGGAAAGGAATTATTCGTTGTACTATAAGTTATAACAGTTTACCCTGAAAAGCCTCTAATTTTCGAATATTTTAAAAGTTGAAAATTGTATCAATGATGAGCTCTTACCTCTAGCTGCTTCTGCCCTCTTTTGTTGATAGCGTTCAAACAGTGTACATGTCTCTATCTGATTCCGAGGTAATCCTGAAATAATGAGATTGAGAAAGAATCACTAATAATATCGAGTGCAGTCAGAAAATTGTTGCTAACTAACAAATACAGGCTGCTGTCCTAAAGTTACCAGTTAATACTGGTTAGTCTCGTTATCATTCCAATTAAAACAGAGCAATTAAGCAATTAAAGGATTAACTAATTAACTAATTAAGTGAGAGTCTCACCAAATAGAATAGGTGTGTCTGTTTTCTTGGGGGGTTTTGGGTAGGTTTTATACGTTTGTTCAATCTCTGCGAAGGACTGCTTGGAAAGCGCACTTGTTATTGAAAACTCGCTCGAGAAGGATATCCGCGGGATCTTTATCTGTAATTGTGGGTTACTGTTCGATCATTCATAATTTGATAAAATGTAGGCCAGCTTAACTTGTTCTTGATTCAAAGTTTAAACTATGTAATATGTATGATTAATATAAAATAGAGAATTGTATCGATATACAATATTTACAACAAGGTTTACATGAATCTGATATTATTATTATCAAGACTTCCAAGACATTGATCATATTCGGACCATTAATCGTTTAGAAGGATCCTCAGTGATTCCTGGGTGTGGTGTTTTAGACTTGAGTTTTGGCAGCTTGCCATCCCTCTCAACAATATCACGTGACCCCTCCTGGTTAACTTGAGGATTACAAACCATCACCACCAGACGAAAACAGCTAGAAACCCATGATTCAAACAACAGAAAAGGTACACTGCGACGCAGGACAACACGAACAGCTGTGTAAACTGTAAAGATATCGACTGCTGCCCTTAAATTCCGTCATAACAACGACTCTCGATAACTCACAGCGGTCAGCTGTAAGTTAAACCAGTAAAGGTGTTCATCATGAGGTGAGCCGGACGGCACGAATGCTTGTTCAAAAGCAATTAATCTAACGGATGTTTTCGTGTAAAGTTGTAAAACTCACCGCGGAACTAGGGGGGAAATGAGGATATGCTCGGCTGTTCTTCTCGAGCTACATTTACGATATCTTCTAAAAGGAGTATAGAGTGAGCTGCGTGAGGAAACGTGTGATTTTTTGTATGATGTCAAACACAAGGATGTGTTTTGTAGAGGATTAAAGGATTCTTAAGAAACTTGAGCTAACATTAAACAAACATTAAACAAACTACGAGTACATCTAGCTTTAATGAAATGTCCGCTATATCGTGCATCTCCTAAAGCTAAGCCTCCATCAAATATTCAGCGGGACTTTTAGCGTCATCTGACCTCAAATTTTGTCATTCTGCAAATTTAACATGCTTAGGTTCATAATAAACGGCTACGCTGAAACAAAAACGCATCCGAAACTACAAAAGTTTTGTCGAATTATTCAACTTGGAACAATTAAAAATGCAATATGAAATATGCAATATATGCATGGTTACAAGTACAAGTGCTGTGTACTTCTGGTGTTGTTGTTGTTGTGACTAAGTGGCCCGACCGGCCCATTGGCCCAAACATTTCTTTCACTTTGAGCTAGTGTCTTGGAATAGAACTTATTCAAATTTGAAGCAGCTTAAAAGGATGCGGCTTTCTTTTATTAACCTTTGTTCTACCGATCAATTGGTTCGATGATTAATATAAAACAATGACTTATTCAATAAAATAAAAGTAAGCTATTAAACAAATAAGTAATTCAAAATAACCGAATATTCTAGGATAAGTTAACTCAGAGATGAGACTATTTAAGGAAATGTAATAGTAAATATCCTGATAAGTATTCGGTACTCCGCGTGACTTTCAAGTTCATGACGTAATTTATAATTCTCCTGGGGTATGTGACATCATCACACTGCTTTCGTGATGTCATCACAATACTCACGTGACGTCATCACAATACTCACGTGACGACATCACGTCTTGATCCACCTTATTTTCAGAATGTGGGTAATAAAGGTCGTAAAGGTGCAGATATCGCAGTGTTCACTTCTAAAGGGATCATAAATACTAATGTAACAGACGAGTTCAACCCTTTTCAGATCGACACTTTTAGGTTAGTTGTTTGGTTGGATTATTAGATTGTTGTTATTTGTTTACCGTAATTAACTAATTAACTACTTAGCGTAAATACTCATTCTATTGATTAACTTAATGAATTATTCACAAGGATGCTGGTCAGCGTCCACAGTGTGTCCACGACTATCGATCATAAACAAAAATCAAGAAAAGTATTGGAATTTTCTCAGCATCGTATAGCCATCCAAACTGAGAACTTGAGCAATTCAAATTTCGCGTGCGCCAATGATGACTCATGTTTTGATTATAAAAGTCCGCAGCTGAAGAATAATAATTTATTGTTTAAGCATGATGATTGCTGAGTATATTTATTTCAAGATGTTAATGTTACATGCAGGTCTATTAAAAGCGCAATCTAATTTTTCTCTAATCTAGCTTTGAGGCTGGGAAAAGCTAGCCAATCACATAAACTTTCAGCATGATAACATGTTGCATAATAACATAATTGCATGATTGCATAGTTAATATGGTAGATACTTAATTTTTCAAGGGAAGAAAAGAAAATAAAACATAACATATATACATGTGCTTAAAAGCTGTGACAACCTTATAAAAGGAGGTTATCGGGAAATAACTTAAGCTAATAAAAGTGAAATAACGTAAGGGTGGTGCATAAATAGTAATACTTTATAAATAATTAGACAAAATTATCAAATTTATCGTTTTTTTATTATCAACCTAAAAATTCGAATCAAAATTTCTTGTTATAGTATGAACATGTTTATGACTTCATACTTTCTTACGGAAGTTATTAAGCTATCTCCACATTGAGGACATTTGAGTTCCCTTGGCAACCTTAATTGAAGTTGAGTTCCCTCGGCAACCTTACATGAAGTTGAGTTCCCTTGGCAACCTTATTTTAAGTTGAGTTCCCTTGGCAATCTTAATTGAAGTTGAGTTCCCTTGAAAACCCTACTTCAAGTCGAGCTCCCTTGGCAACCGTACTTGAAGTTGAGTTTCCTAGGCAACCTTACTTTAAGTTGGGTTCCCTTGGCAACCTTACTTGAAGTTAAGTTCCTTTGACAACCTTATTTCAAGTCGAAGTCCCTTGGCAACTGTAGTTGAACTTCGAGCAGAGTTCATTTGGCAGGTGGTGAAAGATGTATATATTGACTTAAATAAGTCGAATATTCGAGAACTAGAAGTGTAAAGAATGTACTTGAATGCACCCGTTCAAATGTTAAACACAGGTCTAAAACACTTTGTTTGGGACGTTTTTTAATTTTGTTATCTTAACATTGGCCTTGTTAATGTTGTGTTGCTCTTTGTTTTCTTGTTCTTGGTGATCAGATCTGGATTTCGATTAAGTATTTTGAAGATCTCTACGTGACGAGCAGAGGTTCTGCCTTGTGCCCTAGTAACCCTAGCAACCACCTAGCCCTATCCTGTAACCCTAGCAACCAGAATCCATTCCTCTTGATGCAGGCGAATAACTTTGACACCTTCAGGTAAGTGACAGTTTGTTGTCAATAAAATAACCTTAGCATTATTATAATATGTATTTCATGAGTCAGGGTAAAATTATAGGCACGAGTAAAAATTGAGCAGCAACTCATTGTTAAAAAATTATAATTTTTTTGAAATCCTGAAATTCTTTCTGACTAACCCTGTAAGTGATTCCCTTAATTATTAGTAAAGTACTTGTTGGTTGTACTTCGTAGTAAAGTGAAGCGAGCTGAACGTTTGAACTTCCAATGTTGCAGAAGGGACTGTAACCATGGCGACATGTGCGGTGTGCCTTGAACAGGAAACAAAATGTCAAGTTCAACAATGAATAGGGATATGTTGTAAACAATAAAATACAATAAACCAACCGGAATTAAAATAAATTCCCTTACAATTTATTGCAATTTATTACAAAGTTACAACTATAATGAATTTGTATAAGATCGGGACTCCGGAGGTTAAATTGCGCAGAGTTATGCCCCTTGTATAATTATCTTGACGTGGATTTATGGGTTTTACGGATATCGATTTCAGTAAACAATTATTGTAGCCCTGATAATATCGAAAGTGCTGATCACTATAGTTGTGACGTCATCACACTACTCACGTGACGTCATGACACTACTCACTATAGTTGACATTGTTGTGTCCGTTGCTGTAATCTCAGTGAATATTTTCTTTTTAATTCATCTAAAAATATCCCCCACTAAAAATTGTTCCTATCGTTTTATTTGAACCTTTATTTGAGGTTTGCCCTGTTGTCAGCCTTTTTTTACTTTGAACCACCGCAAACTAAGCTATTTGTTACGTGGCAAGTAATGAAGTAAAGTGAATAACCTCTTATAAGTATTAAACTAACATTTGGCGACGAAATATCGCTTCTTTAAGTTATTTGTTCCATCGTTGAAAATGCTGGAAATTGTCCTGACGACGCCTTATATTTCTTCGAACTGAGCTTGTTAAAAAGAACAAAGCAACAGCAATTTATTGGTTACTACTAAGCGTCTATTACCTGTCTTCGAGACAAAAGAAGTTGGCTCATTAGTAAATAGTAATTATGTTCTAATATAGCCGTGTAATTAGAATATTATTTCGGTTTAAAAGGGCTGGCAAACTGCTAACTGTCGTTATATATTATATCTGAATCTGTTCAAACACGAAGATTAAACTCAGTTAATTCAGTTAATTCCTTTCTTATATATAACTTATAAATAACTTTATATAACTTATAAATTCTGAGAGGTCTGGAGCCCAGACTCTGACTCTTGCTCTCACAATAATATTATCTTCCTAACAACATAATTATTATATAATTATTCGATTGTTTTATCCCATTCCCAATATTGAATATCTAGATCTGAATTGGACAACCCTAGCCTACAATTTAAAGAATTGTTAAGGGGCTGATTTCTCTCTCAAATTAGTCTTTGCTCAGGGCGTATTATTTCTAGGAAAGTGAATAATTACCAATTATGCTAGACTCTCCCCCCTTGACTTGACTCTAAAATCATCTCGGTTTGGGGTTGACAATTGCACCGACTGTCGCGATCACTTTTTGTCGGTTTGAATCAATCTGAAATTTTGCATCGATAAAATCCTGTCAAGACCTCCTAAATTATATGTCTCAAAGTTTAATCTTTTGTTTCCAGCTAGCCGACTAATGCTATAATTTTGTGTGGGTCTGAACTTGCCGACTTATAGATAAGATATATAGGATTCCTTAGAACATTAACAAATGAAAACACAGGTGTGATATGCTGGGGGCCTACGGACCCCCTTCATCCAGTTTCAAACTTGTCACCCTGATTACACATAGCGTAGTAGTGACATTGTTTGCCATGTCCCGAAAATGAAGCTAAAGAGATATATAAATATAAATATTACGATATTAATACAGCAATGTTAGATTGTTTTATATCCCAAATATCCCATTTTTAGTATCTAGATGTGAATCGGACGACCCTATAGCCTTCATTGTTGCGAAGCTTTGTTGAGCCGCTGATTGTAGTTGTAATGGCCGTTTTTATATCTAATATCATATCTTTTCAAACATTTTCGCTATTTGATGATATGCATTGATCTGACGAATTTTTCATTTGAAGGTTTTTTTTTTTTTTTTTTTTTTGTGGAGGGCGCTCACTTTACCTCCCCGGATTAGCAGGGAGGCTACGTCCGCCTTGTGGCTAACGTCTGATGGAGCTCCTTTGGACTGCAGGCTTTGTACCTTTTGCTCTGCTTGGCATGGGGTTCGCAGAGCCCGGTACGTCCAAAAGACATAACATAGTTATGACCCGGTAGATCGGCGATGACCCTAAGGTTATCTGCCATAATGATCCGTCATCGGGAGACTCCATAGAACCCGTCTGGAGTCAGGTGTCGAAACACCCTCCCGGAA